GAAATATAAATGGGGATTGTTGACACGCCGGCGTACACGGACTATTGGTCTTAAGAGACGTGATATGAACTTATTGCAAATGTAATGTCACTAAAAAGGTATCAAGCAACACGACGCAGCCTACATTTTGTCAACAATGAGGGGTTGAATAATGACATATATTTCAAAATAAGGCCTATCAAAGTCTAGATGTTCATTGGATGGAATAATGGTCCTATACAAGGGGGAAAAGGCAGGCTCGAGAAGACGATATGTGAAGAACAAACCAAAAAAATGGGGTTTCAAAATGTTTGTACGTTGTGGCGTATCGGGGATAGTGTATGATTTCTTTCCCTGTGGAGAACACTTAAAAATAAATTAAACATACTTTTAAAAACCATCGTTTTACGTATGAGAAAAATAACATGGGATTTGGGCAAAACGTGTTTCAGCACTATGTTTTACAATCCAAAAGAAATCTTTATTGACGGTTTATTTCGGTAATTATGTTATAAGTTTAGAACTCATTACATATCATCGAAGTGAATTTGGAATACTTTCTTTGGGAACTGTTAGGAAAAACGGGGTTGCCCACTAAATCTGATAAGAAAATGAAAAAAGATGGGAGAGGTTCTTTTGACCAAAGAGTAGATAATGATAGTCGCATTGTCGTTGTAAAGTGGTACGATAACAAGTCCGTAACCTTATGTAGTTCTTATCTAGCCTCCATTCCAATGGCAACCATACAAAGATTCTTTAAAGTGGAAATAAAATAAAATACTATAACAGTCATATGGATGGTGTGGATTTGGCAGACACGTAGATTGCTCTATGTAAAATACGCTTCAAAACGCATAGATGGTATATGTGATTTTTTCTCAAATTAAAGATATATCCATTATTAATGCTTGGCTTCTATAAAAACTTGATGCAAGCATTCTACAAGAAGATAAAAAAACAGTCATTCCTTTGAAACAATTTAGAATTAAACTTGCCAAAAGTCTATTGCAGGCTGACAAAATAAAATGAAGACGTCCCAGCAATGAGCAGCTACCACTACCTTCAAAAAAAAACTTATAAACCCGGTAAAGCCTATACCCCAAGATGATATCAGATTAGATCATCTTAATCATTTTCTAGTTTATCGTGCAATGGACAGGTGCAGAAATTGCAAGAAGGGACAAACGGCCATATTTTGTAACAAGTGTAATATTACACTATTTTTAGGTAGTGCATAACAGGAATTGTTTTATGGATGTTCAAATTAATAAATAAATATTTTTGATTAAATTTTGATAGTTCTTATTCATATTACTTGCCCTGATCAGATTTTTATATTCAAAATTAACCTTTTGTCAAGTTAGGGTTAATTTGCTTCATACATTCTTTTTCTATATTCGATCATATTTGATTTATTTTCTATATCATATTTGAAGATTTGAGTAAACAGCAATCTGTTTTCCGGTTGTTAAAAATTTGTTTATTCCGATTCTTTGAACGGTGCATTTTTTCTTTATGATAGATCAGAAAAAACAATATTATGTAGTTTATAGAGATGCAACTTCAGCAGTGATTTTATCTGCTATATTTGCCTATCTGGAATAATTAATAATTTCGGACTACAACCTACATAAATCCCTAAATTGTAAACGTTTTATGTTTTTGTGTTTGAGATTAAAAGAGAAACTGCTAGATATGTCTCAAGTGGGTTAAATTTGTTATATAAAGGTCATCCCAAGGACAAGCACTTCATATAATTAATATGACCTTAAAGAATTATTATTTGTAAATTTTTAAAAATCGTTGTAGCTAAAGTAGCACTAAGACAAATTATTTTTACAGAAATTTTAATGTTTGTACTTCGCAAAGTAGCACTTTTCCACATACAGCTCGATAAATAAAACTACTTTATATGAGTTTTATTGATAGAGTTATAGAGTTTTAGTGATTTTATACTATATTATGCAACTTTACTCATCACAAACTATTCATAAAAAACTGAAAAAACATAATTACTCTCATAATGCAACTTTTTTAATTTAACGCATAGTATAATTTATCAGCAGCAGACTGACAATTATTGGCAACAACGAACAATTAACTGGTATTTTTGGAAGCCTCTAATGGCTACTTTTTGAGATTTTTATAGTCTCGTAAAAGTAAATATGCTAGGAATATATTTACAACCCAATAAAAAATGCAAAATACATTATAATAGATGAGACATATACGTCACTAGATTACGTTGGCTCTAATGAAGAAGTAAATCTGTATACTGTCATGACTCTCATATATTGTGTGTTAAAAATGTATTACAGATAAAAATTTGCAGTGCAAACCCAAATAATGTTTACTGTATAATTTAGATAGGTAGTTTGCAGTGTACTAATAAGTAATGATTCGGAGAAAAAGGGATAATGTCGCAGTGAAATTTATAATAAAACTTTGTGCGGTTGAAAATAGATGCTTGATTATGAAACAAACAGGCAGTAATGGATAATTTCTTAGAAGATACATTTGTCTGAGTTTTTCTCAAACTTTCCAATTTCTAAAAATTACACGGAAGCTTTGTGGAAGACAGGGGAGATATGTATTTCAATTTAGATAGGATAGACAAAGTCTAGCGGAGAGAAAACTGAAGAAGCGGATGGGCAAGGCATTATTTTGAGAGAAGGGAAGAGAAAGGATAAAAATAAGGGAACCAAAAAAGGAGATCATCTTAGAATGAATGTTTCAAAAACTTGGTTGTAAAAGTGAAGAAGCAGTGAGTTTTTCAAAGAAGTTAATTGATTTCAAAAAAAAAAGTGTGAGTGAAAGTGATTGTTATACGGGACTTCTGGATAGATTGAAGATATCCGAGCATGAGATACATTGTGAGTTATTTGCTTTCCTTTTGATGTGGCTCGAGATATTTCGTTCCGATACATTTCAAAGAATTTTTGGAAGAAAATTTTTTTTGACGAGAGGCCAGAAACTGACTGTTTCTTTTATGGAAAGTTTGTTTTAATTTTATATTAAAAGGAATCATTCATATTATTATATTACTGGAGAATTCGATTTGATTAGAAAGTCAATTTTCTATGCATAAATATGTATTTTTTAAACAAGGAAACCATTACTGATAGATTATTGTGGAAGTTTAAAAATTTATTATTATTTAAAGGATAGTCAATAATACTTTAATTAGTAGGAATACTTTTTTTACATTTCTACTTCCACTATTTTATTTACTGTGAATTTTTGGTTGGTATACGTTTAATATTTCTGTTTTTCATATGTAAATAATCTTTTTTGATATTTGGATTTTTTATTTCCAATTAGCTTCTATAAATCTAAATGTAATACATAATTAAAGAACGAAGCAAGAAGAACCTTAAACCGAGTCGATTATCATTGCGCTGAACTTTTTGACATCCTCTTTGATGTCTTCTACAGGGCTTTCGAAGTGTCAGTCTCCCGAGCCCCCAGACACTACTACACTGATCACTAAAAAAAGCATTACTGCTAGTGGGAACAGAGGACGGTCCATTTATACCGTCGATGGTGACGTTTCAAAAACAAGCCCTCGTCCAAAACGGTTACCGTGAACTGATATCAATAGGAGCATCCACAGACATCTATCTCCCACTCAATCTCAACCCAAAGACTCAGACCCTCATCATACGAAAGCTTTTCTTCCTTACATCAAAGGTGTCCTTAACAAAATCGACAAAATTCTTAAATCAAGAGGAATAAGGACAATATTTATCCCCAACAAAAACTTCTCTTTTCCGATCAATCAAACACAACATTCCAAATAAACAACACGGAGAATTTATGAAATTCTTTGTGCAGACTGCCCCTGATTCTATATAGGTTAAACAAATCGTAGAATAAAATATAGGATTTATGAACATTCCATTTCTGCTCGCAATTCCGATTCAATTTCACCTTTAGGTCAACACCATCTTTATACAGGTCACAAAATTGATTTTGAAAACTCCAGAACTATAACCTCCATCCGCTTCTATAAACCAAAATTTATCCCAGAACCCATAGAAATTGAAAAACGGCCAAATTGTCTTCATAAAAGCTAATAAAAGTGCCAACCAAAATCCTACTGTCCAAAATGTTTCAAAATTGAAATACAAGGAAACCAAAAACCCATGGAGACGACTGCTACTTTTGCTTCTGCAATATTAATATTAAGGGTTTTAATTCAAAAAATTAACACAAAATTCACTCTCCTGTTTTACCTTTTGCTAAACGACCTGTATCTCATGAACCAGAAATCCCTATTCCTCCAACTTTTCTTCACACCATCCAACAGAAATCATCAGATGAAAATGAAGACGAGAAAGCTGAATTAATGACTCAGTAGGAGACTTGGGCCTATCGAAGGATGCTGAGCAAATCTAAGGATCACGACTGAAAGATAAGAATCTATTGTGTATAATACTTGTGCCTCAATGCCCGTTGCTCACTCCGTGCATATGAAAGAAGCATATGAGAATCTTGAGATGTTGCTAAATAAAATAAACTATAGCGAATATTGTTGGCAACTCTGTAAAGATCTCAAAATAATATCCATGCTTTTGAGTCAGCAGTCTGGATTCACAAAGTATCCATGTTTTTTTGTACGAGTGGCGCTCGATCACGAAATTTACATTACGTTAAGAAAGAGTGGCCACTCAGAGAAAGACTAGTACCGGAACAAAAAAATGTGCAACGTGATACACTAGTTGACCCAAAATTAATTGTTTTTCCTGCATTTCACGAATTGATAAAGCAGTTTGTCAAAGCTTTAGATAAACAATGTGACTGCTTTAAATATCTGTGCGACAAATTTTCTGCACTTTCCTGAAGCTAAACTGAAAAAAGGAATTTTTGTAGGCCTTCAAATTCGAACCTTAAAATCGGACAGATTGTTCCAGAATACAATGAACCAGGATGAATCTGAAGTATAAAGTTCTTTCGTAAAATTCATAGATGGTTTGCTTGGAAACAACACGTCTCCAAACTATAAAGAAATTGTAGCTAACATGGTCGAAAATTATAAAAAACTGGGATGCAATATGAGCGTCAAACTTTATTTTTTGGATTCCCACGTTGATTATTTTCCCGAGAATCTTAGAGCAGTCAGCAAGGAGCTGGAAGCAAGGTTCTATCAAGATATAAAGGAGATGAAGAGACGTTACCAAGGAACATGGGGTATAAGAATGATGCTGATTACTGCTGGACCTTGAAGAGAGAATCGATCACAAAAATCCATAAAAAGAAAACCACAAAATGTGGTTTTCATGGGAAAAGAAAACAGTAACTTTTTTGAAACCAAATATTGCCTAACGTAAGTTATACTGAAATCTTTTTTTAAGAACAACTCAATTTTGCAGTGTAATATTATATTAAATAAGGTTTCAATAAATATTTTCTCAGTATTTCTGACAGTTTCTATGAAAAGTTTCAAACACACTTTTTTTGAAAACCTGACGTGCTGGAAAAAAACTAAGTACAGATTCGTGATTAGCACATCCCATTTACTATAGGACACTTACTTTTTCATGAAATTAAAAATGTAAGCCTGAGTAATCGACGCGGTTCAAGTTTGAAGACTATTGAGTTTAATATTAACTAAATACTTATAATAGTAATAATCATAGCTCTAGATTATTTATATATATATATATATATATATATATATATATATATATATATATACTATATATATATATATATATATATATATATATATATATATATAAATATATATATATATATATATATATATATATATATATATATATATATATATATATATATAAATATGTCACAAGCACTTGAACTTCTCAAAAAAAATATTTTATTTTCAAAATTAGGTTACAATTTACAGAGATAATTACTACAACTAAATACGAACTAATAATAATAATCGTGGGCTTCTTCCTTCCTTCTTTATAGCCTCTGGTCTTAGGAACTTGCTGACTCTAGATAGTCGGGGGGCTTTTATGACATTTCTCCTCCCTCCTTTGGTTCGGACTTCGTCCTCGAAGTCCTAGTAACTTCTGCAATTAATTCGTCCAGAATTTGAATTTGGGCAGGATGAAGTTTCGTGCCAAATAGAATTTGGGAAATTCTTTTTCGTTTTTTAATTATAAATATTGCTAAAAATGCTAAAACAGAGAAAAGTATAACAATTGAAGTGGTGCTCAGTCCCATGGAAAGTGGTGGTAAAACATCCATCGTTTCGAGGGGTTGAATTTGGCCATGAGTATTTGGAATCGTTAACTTCTCAATTTTTATCTGGTGTTCCGGAAGTAATTTTATGGGAACTATTTTTGGTACTGAAATATCTTCGGATGTTTTCTTGTTAAAGTAGACTCCCTCAATGACGATTGGTTCTTCTGTTGTTAGTATACTGGTTGATTTTACTTCGTGTTGTTGAATTATTATTGTATGGATTATTCCAAGTAATATCACTTTGCTGGTTTCTTTGAAAAAGTTCTCTGTCGCTATGGTCTTGGTGCAATTATGGACATTTGGTATTGTACAATGGGATTGTACGTTTTTTGTACAAATTATGTGGTCACTTTCTCCAATGCAGTTTTCGAACCATTTGTTGTTAACATAGTAGGGTGTAGGTGGTAAAATCATGATGTGATCTTTGTTTGGGATCGGATAAATCTTAAAGGTGGTATAGGAAGTTTCGTGGAGAATAGGTATTTTAATTAATATGAGCATTGTTTTGGCGGTTACACAGACTAGCATTTTGGATGCTTCGATTAGTTCATACGGATGTTCATCACTGACAAGAAGCGAATTTCTAGGATATTTTAAGAAGATTTTCTTTTAAATTGTCTAATTCTTTTAACGTGAATAATTCGATATTTGGAATATTTAATTGAGATAAAGTTATGGTCCTAATTAGTTTCATTAAAAATTCGTTAATATTTTGAATGTTTACTATTTCATTATGCAAAATCAAATAACTATCAAAATCTGCAGAAAACTTACTAACTGCAGCTACAAGAGCAGCATTATCATTATTTATCTTTTCCAAGAGTTTATCGAATCTTGTATTAATTGATTGTCCATATGATATTTGATTGTTAAATTTTTTGATTATTTCATTTTGTTTATTTTCTATTGCAATAATATGTGTTTTTAATAGATCAAGGTCAGAGTCATCTGGGTTACCTGTTATATATTTGATAGCAGTTCCGAGAAAGTTAAAGAGTCCTCTTTTCTGTTTGCGAGTGATCTTATGCAAATCATCTATTACTTGTTCGCGTATATGAAAGAAGTGAGAGAGGTGTTTTCTTAAAATGAGATTGGAATTGGTTTATTGGGCTAGTTTCTATTATATTCGATAAATTGTCTAGGGAAATATGAAGGAAGTGTCTATGGTAATGGGAGATTTCTTTTGATTTTCCTATCTCCTCAGCATAGTAGCCATTATTCTGAATCTCCTGAATCCTGAGTTGACGGCCCAGGGAGAGGATTTTCCTGTGAACAAGTTTGAGCTTGAGTATTTTTGTCTGTACATTTTCTTGTTCTTTTAACAAACTTAAGATGTGTACTTGTTGGGTTTTGTTTATCTGTTTTACCTAAAATCTTTGTTTTTTCTTGTTTACCTGGATGTATTATAGAATAGGGTGCTTGTAGTTTTGGTTTATGTTTCTTTTTTGAAACATACAAAGTTTTTGTTAGATCTATCTCGGGAATTTCTTCAGCGTTTTCGTTCTGTCTATCTAATATATGCTGCCTTTTTTCTTTTTGTTTATTGTATAAATACTCGATAAAAGGTTGTAGTTCCTCTTTATGTCTTTGATTGTACGTTTCGTATACGGGAAGGTCAAAGTCAAAATGGATTAGCCTTACCTAAATTATCTAAAATTTCGTCTATTTTCGGTAAAGGATATCTGTCATCTATAGTATTTTCGTTTAACTTTCTATAATCTATAACCATTCTAAATTTTTTCTTGCCTGAAGCATCAGACTTTTTCGGTACAACCCACACTGGGGCCGAATAGGGAGAAATTGATGGTCTAATAATGTTATCATCTAATAATTTTTGTACTTGTCGACTAATTTCTTCCTGCATCGCCTTAGGATGCCTATATCCCTTAACATAAATAGGATTTTCATCCTTTGTTTTTATTTCATGTTTCACTGCTGACGTGAAAGATAAACTCTTTTTCTCATCGTAAAATACATCTCTGTATTTTCTGCAAAGGTTAAGTATTTTATTTTTTTCTTCATTATTTAAATGTTGTGTACGAATATTAGATTCTACAAAGTGCGTTGGTCCGGTTGAAATTTCATACTCATCAAGTTTTTGAACTTGGATAGGTTCTAATAATTTTATCGGAAAGGGAGTGTCAAGTTATTAATGAAACCGTTTTTTGCTGTGTGTATGGATTCTGGTAATGTAAAATTTTGTAAGTCTACACGGGGTACTAGAATTTCACCGTCTAGAACGTTAACTGGAATTTTGTAATATAATGTCTCGAAATGAATTGTAATTCTGTAATTTGTTAAGGTTAATGTTTTAGTTTGATAATTTAGTATGGAGTTAAAACGTTCTAAATCATAATTTCCAAGTAGAATATCAAAATCTTTGCTCCAATTTGCGATTCGTGCATCAATGAGATCATTAATACCATATTCAGATAATAAAGGGGTTTTAATATTTTGGAAAAATTTTGTTGTACGATTCATAGAGGTTAATGTGAAAGGTTTTTCGTATATGTGGGATTGATTAAAATATTTTACAGCTTTCGGCGAGATTACAGTATCTGATCCTCCAGAATCTATAAGAACTTTAAGACGAGTCATGGGCGTAACAAAATAAGGTAGCCGGGGAGATTTTTGTAAATTATTCAGATTTATACAGGAGGTGGTTGTTCTTCGGGAGGTACTAGGGGAAAATCCTGATAGTTTTGGTCGAAATATTCTTCCGGTACTTGTTCGGAATCACAGTTTTCAATGTTAACTTCGGAATTATGAATTTGATTTGCAGCAATATTAAAATGATGGCCATTAGTTGTAACGGTCATGGGTTGGTGATTTCTCGTGGAGGATGTTAGAACGCCACTCATAGGAGAATGTGTGTTTTGTTGAGTTTGGGGGTTCCTATATTTATTTATTCTATGTTGTACATTTTGTCGAAAATTTGGGGGTTGATTATTTCTAGATGAACTATTATTATACGATTGAGAAGCAAAATTAAAATTTGGTTGTGAAGTATTAAAATTTGTTTGATTATTCTGAAATGGTGGTCTGAAGTAATTTGACTGCATGGGCGAGAAGTTTGTGGGCCTATTATTATTATGATTATTACGTGGAAACTGGTTTGGATTATGTGGCCTCTGTTTGAGCAAAGGTTTTCTAGTTTGTTGACTTTTTAAAAAGTTCATATATTGTTGCTGGTTTTTATGATTATCATAAGCAATACACTTTTGAAGTGCTGCTTCAAGTGATTCTATTTCAAAATGAGACAAATATTCGCAGTATGGTTCATTTATACCCGAACAAAAAGTTTTTAAAGCAATGTTCTTAAAATATGGCGTTTTAAAATTTACAGTAGCAGGATTATCATTTAAAGTAATATGTTGAAGCAGATCATTTAAATTGGTGGAAATTCTTTGATGATACTGATCATAGGATTCGTTATGTTTTTGAACTGTTGTCGATAACTGAGTTACCAAAATGTCTTCTGACCCTCTATCTCCATATTTAGTTAACAAAGCAGGACGAATATCTGTCCAGCTTAATTTATTAGAATAATTCAAAAAATTTCTCGGATCTCCTTTTATACGAGATACAATATGAGTATTAAGAATAAATAACTGAGGTTCTGTAAGTTCTTGGGTACCTAAGAATGTTAACAAGTTATCTACAGATTTAATAAAAGTAGAAAGATCTTCTTTAGACGAAAATTCTGGTAACGTGGAACACAGACTAGCAATATCGCTATTAGTGACAGGCATTTTGGAATTTTTCTTAGAAGATACGGATTTTTTATTACAAGAAATAGAATTTCTTAAATTGGGAGTTGACGAGTTATTAATAATATTTAAATTCAAATTGTCAAATAATAAATTTAAATTTTCAACACTGTTTTGAGAAATATTGTTAAAAGTGCTCATAAAAATTAAGGAAAGAAAGGAAAAACTTACATAAGGATGATCACTGTTGATTTCCAATGCATTTCTTTCTTCTCCAAGGTTCGATCGGTCTCGTTAAA